GCACATTGCACCGATGATCCCCCCCCACCAGCACCCCGTCGTCGCCTGTGCCACCTGTGAGCCGCCGGGAAAAACTCCGCGTCGCCCGCCGCGCTCCAAGGCGATCGCTTCCACGGCGGCGCAAAATCACTTCCCTAATAGAAAAGGAAAACGTTGAATGACGGTAAAAAAATATACCAATAAAGGTCCTCCAAAAACTAAAAAAAACCATGCTCCCCCCCCCCATTGCTGATGTTGGATCTGTAAAAATGTACAAACAAACAAAATCGTCGAAACCATGATGGGTGACCGATTTCAAAAACCAAAATATCTAACGACGAAACGATAGTAGAGACCCCAACAACAACAAACAAAAAATAAACGCTTCGGAGGCCAAAGAGTCGCACACGCACACGAAAAAATGTAAAACACAGGAGAGGAAACACCGTCCACGTGTTTTTGTCGTAATAAAAACGCGTTGAGTCGGTATCCGCGCGGACGCCGCCGTGACCCCGGACGCCAACGTGGTCACGGCCCGACTCGCCTCCTCGATCTCCCGCGCCGGGCCTCGAACAAACTTTGACTCAAAACTTTCGTGACTGCAGGAATTCATACTATTTGGTTCTTTCGGTAAAGTCGCGTAGATAGAAAATAAGTTATTAATTAAAATGTATTTGTAATTGTCATTTTATTTTTTATAAACATTTTTTTAATGACTTTTAATTCATTTTATTATTGTAATTTTACTTTATTTTTCTATCTACGTGACTTTACCCAAATAACCAAGAATATAGTCTTACGTCCACACGCTCTCTCCCCGTGACGACGGGAGGAGTGTGGGGGGGGGGGATACACCAAACACATTGGGGCTGAATATTTATCTCGATGCAATGATTTTTTTGTTTTCCCCTTAGAATTTTTCAAGCAAAAAAAAAAGAGACATTTCTATAAAATACTTTGGAATGAACTGTTAAAGGGCGGGGGACGGACGGGCGGGGGGAAGCAAGTCAATGCAAGCTGAATTCACAGTTTCACACTCGTATCGATAACGCATGCATCTCTCTCCAGTCCGAGCGAAGATTTGGATAAGGAAGTGAAACGTAAAAGTGCCCCGCGCGTGACAACATCATAGGGGGGTGGGGGGTGAACAAACTAAAAAGTGCCATTCGTGGACGAAATAAAAACTGCAAAACCAAACGCAAAATGTCTCGTATACTTTTCTTTTCTCAAGATATCGAAAAAAAATACCGAAAACATTTTTGAGGCTTTTCTTGAAAATTAATGGGTCTTTTTTTTTACCCGATATCTCATAAATAAGTTTGAGGGGGGGGGGGAGGTTAACGCAAACGATACAAAAAACACACAAACACACAAAACCCCCGATACCCACAATTCCTTTCGCGCGTAATTATTACTTGAATCGCTCCGCTTAGAGGGAAGAGGGGTGAAGTGTCTTAAAGCTATATTGAAACGTCTGCAAATCCGTCGTCGGAGACGCCTCAAACAATTACCTGCGCATATTTCTCCGTGGTGGTGGGGGGGAGGGGAGGAAGGGAAGGGGGTAGAGGAGAGGGGGGCATCCTGCTGTAGCAGTACGCGCACACGCCGCTTATTAAAGCACGCAGGGCCCCCCCCCCCCCCCCCCCCCCAGCGGGACTTGTCCCATCTTTCCCAACGCTGACTCGCGCGTGGTCCCGTGACTTGCTTTCTTTCTCCCATTTCAGCACATGAGGTCCTGGGTCCGAAACTGGCCATAGAGTTAAATCGATATACGCATATGCATTTCATATATTATAATAATAATGTAAAAAAAACGAAAAAAAGGTAATATCCCAACTTCACCGTATTTACACCAATTCGCCTATTTTTTTGTTATTTTTATTTTACCTATCCCATCGTTTTTGGCCGGTATTCGCAGACGACAAGTCGAAAACGGGGCGGGGTCCCGATTCCTTTCCACGAGGACTTCGAAAATGCCAAGAACATCCACGCTTCACCCAACCTCACCGCTCTGCCCGCTTCCCCTTTCTCACGAACCCCCCCCCCCCCCCCCATCGTATTGCACGCCCGGACGACGTCCCGCGTACGGTCGAATTTGTGCGCTAATGACCGCTGTACACGGGGCGCAGAGGACGAGGCCATTTGGCGTTAGCGAGCGAAACCGGCGCGGTGCGGTGGTGGTGGCGGCGGAAGGGGCACACGTCCGTCAGTCCGTCCGACGCTGTCCATCAGTGGCGGCTTTGGCCCTCGCGATGCGTCGGTGCTCACTCGTCGCCGGCGCAGGACCCCGCACGAGCGGGCCGCACCACGCCGCACCATGTACTATATGCGTGTGTGCTGTGTGCGCGTGTGTGCGAGTAGTGTGCGTGTGTGCTGTGTGAGAGTGGTGTGCGCGTGTGTGAGTGGTGTGCGCGTGTGTGAGTGGTGTGCGCGTGTGTGCTGTGACTGCTGACCAGAGGATGCAACTTGTTGTGGGGAATCTCTGAACGCCTCGACACACTGCGGCCAAGCTGACACCCACAGCGCCCGCGGCACCCGTCAGTTTCACATCATCACCACCGTCACCATCATCATCATCACCACCATCACCACCGTCATCACCACCGTCGTCATCATCATCATCGCCGATGCTACGGTCAGGGCAGATCATCGTCACCATCGTTCGAATTGCAACGATGGTGACGGTGAAAACAACAACAGCAACAATACTGTTGTTGTATCCGTGAGGATACGTATCCCCACGACCAAATCACGTGGAAAACTCCTCGCGCCGGCAATGGAAGTTGGGAAGCACAAGCAGGGCCGTGCCTGGACAGCGGCGAGCGCTTGCGACGGGTGAGAGCCACGCGTTGGGGGGCAGGGAGGGGGGGCATTGAGGGGGGGCAGGGAGGGGGGGCAGGGAGGGGGGGGCAGCGTGCAGGTCACGGGGGGACGCGTGCCGCTGCAACTTCCTGGGAAGGTCGTGGAGCTCCCTTTGGGCGTCGTGATCGCGAGCACGTGGGGAGCACGTGGGTGAGCACGTGGGGAGCACGTGGGGAGCACGTGAGGAGCACGTGGGTGAGCACGTGGGTGAGCACGTGGGTGAGCACGTGGGTGAGCACGTGGGGAGCACGTGGGGAGCACGTGGGGAGCGATCGCACGCGCTCCTTACCGGCATATTTCACGCACGGACGGCGGTTTTGATCGTTGTCGCTCCGGTCGGTCTGCAGGATATTTGTGCGAAAGTTACCACTTTGTGCGAGAGCATTTGGGGGGAATCGCTCCCAAGGTCGACAGTATTACATCGGTCGCTCCCACACCACCCGCCCCCCTATGCAAAGTTTTGTAAAGCGTGGAATAAATTCCGCCGTGTCCCGTCGACGGAAATTCGTCGTCGGTCATCGTTACATTCCCATTTAAAACCGGGGGGGGGGGGCAATGGGGGGGGGTAAGGGGGGGGCACCGGAAATGAGATGTTACAGCAGGAGTGTGCCAACGCAGTGCAGCATTCGTAGTTTGAACGATCGGGAAAACAACTCTCGCGCGCGCGCGCGCGCACACACACAAAGTCACGACGTGTTGCATGAGGACAGCAAAATCACTTTGCCTTATAAAGCTCAACGCGTTTGTCACTGCGGATCGCTCGCCGTGCCGCCTGCCACCGACAGCCTCGCAGACCTCTGTAAGTTTTAAGTGCCGACAGCGTTATTTATAAAACTTTAGTCATTATTTCCACCATCCCCCTCCCCCCGCGACAATCATTCCAAAGTTATATTTTCGCCCCCCGCGCATCACCCAGCCGCCACTACCCCCCACCCCATCTCAATATTTTCTCGTCGTAATCTGAACCGAAAGCGCGCGGAAACGATTTGCATCTTTTCGTCGGCGCGTCCAGAGTTAAGTCCGTGGGGCCCTCTGCGACCATTCGCACTGCCTGTGACGCGGCCACGCGGCCACGGGAGGGGAGCAAGCGGAGCGCCCCCACCTCCCTCCCTGCCCGTGGACGATGCCAGCCTGGGCACCGCGGTGCCCGCGGTGGAAGTGGGGCGAGGGCGAACACCGTGCGGGGTCGACCCCACGGTGCGCTCTTTCGCGAGGGGCCATAACGCGGATTGCCGCTCAGCCCGTCCGGGCTTTCGGCGTCAAACGCGCTGCCCCAAAGCGGGCCGAGTTTAATAAATAAATATATATTTTCTCCCCCATTTTTCGTTCGTCCGAGACGCACTTCGATGGGACGAAGAAATTCAGCGCGCGGAGGGGGGGCGGGGGGCGGGGGGCGGGGGTTCCGCAGTCATTGCGCGCCCACTAAAAGTGGTCTGAGGTCAAAGTGGATTCTCCGAGGAATGTGCTGTCGTCCACGGCCACTCCCGCTTAGATATCCGTCTCGGCCACGACGCACTGGCGCGCCGCAACGCTCTCCTTCCTTCCTTCTGTTCGTTCGTTTTTTTTGTATTAAACCTGAGGCTTTCAAAAATACTGGAACCTTCACGAAGCTGACGGATGGCAGACAAGGTGGACACGACCGTCGGATACACATCTTGGGTTAAACCTTCCTTGGATGTTACCCACGCAATTTTTTTTAGTTTTGTTATCATTCCATCTTCTTTTGGGATACGTACAAGTTCAAATGAGGTATAACACTTCTTCCATCATCACGTGGTCATCGTTTTCTCCGTCCCCACCCCCCGACACATTGTTGCGTTTTCTCTTTTCTCTCGGACAAAATGCGCACAAAAGCACCGGACCCATCTCTCTGGCTGACGGCGGTTGTTGTTTATTTTTTTTCGTAGTTTTCTTTTGTTAGTTTTGCTTGAGCTATATTTGCGGCGGTGTGAATGGGGGGATGTGATCGTCCTACCATTCATATTTGGTTTATTTTGGTTAAAACACCTTTGGAAATTTGCAAATGTATTAGAAAGCACCTTCTCTCTCTCTCTCTTTGAACGGGTTTACGCGGCGGAGGGGGGGGGGGGCGAGGGGGGGGGAGCGAGTGGGGGGAGCGAGGGGGGGGCTGCCGCCGTTTTCTCGCCCCCCCCCCCCCCCCGCAGGAGGCTGCCCTTAAAGTTGCCGGCAAAAACTCAGGGAGAGCCGTCCGTGGCACCGACGGCTTAACGATTCGACGCGCCGTCGTCGTCAATGACATCGTTCGGTTGTTGTTGTTGTTTGTTATTGTTATTAAAGCTTGGCCCGAATTGAGTGTTTCTTCCCCTGCTCTCTGTCTCTCTCGATGCAACGTGTTGGTCTTTCTCCGGGGTGCTGGGCGGAGGAAGCCCTTTTGTCAAACGCCGCGACGTTGGGGGTTTTCTTCCGCTTGCGACGAGCAAAACCCAGGCCCCTCGCCCCCGCCCGGACGCGTCCTCTCCTGCCATTCCACGCTCTTCTTTACGTTGGCGCCGGTACATTTAAAGGCGACCTCCTCCCTCCTCCTCCTCCCTCCTCCTCTTTAGCAAAACCCACGAGTCGCCTTCACGCCGCAACGGCTCCCGACACAACAATACGCAAGGCCGACACCCTTGGGAAAACAAATAAAAAATAGTTCTCAAAAAATAAAAGGAATGTACCAACGGGTTAATACATGCACAGTAAATGATCGTGTCTCCGTTTTTATGTTGGTTTTTGTTTTTTCAAAGTTTTGTTTAAAGCTATCTATAAAAACCGAGCGTCGCGAGCGCCCGCGAGCGGAACGCCTCTACGAGCCCACGCTCTGCGACTCGCGCTCGGAGATCATGCCGTACGCCGCGATGGCGCGCTCGCTCGCCAGCGACGTCGCCTGGCCGCCCTGGTCCGCGTCGCCCGAGCACCCGCTCAGCGAAACCGGCGGCTGGGGCGCCGCCGCCGCCGCCGCCGCCGCCGGCACCTGCGCGTCCATCCCGGCCGCCGCCGCCACCGCGGCCGAGTTCGCCAGGGAGGCCGTGACGAGGGCGGGCAAGAAGCGCGTCTGCGGGAGCGACGGCGGCGTCACGGGCGTGGCGAACGGCGGCCACGATTTGGCGCAGGCGACGGGAGCGGCGCACGAGGAGCCGGCTGCCGAGAAGCCGCCGCCGCCGTCATCCGGCACGGGCTGCTGCTGCTGCTGCTGCGAGGTAGATGCGGAATCAGTGGCGCGAAAGGAGTGAGGTAATAATAGTCTAGCGTGCTGCTGCTGCTGCTCTTTGGCGTCGGACGAAGCTCGTTTGGCCGCGACCTGCTGCCGGTGCGAGGACGACTGGAGGTGGCGTCGCAGGCCGTCTTCCCCGAGCAGGGTCACGTCGCAGGCCTTGCACTGGTACTGGCCCGAGGGCACACGCACCAGGGTCTCCCGCGCGTCCACCTTGCCCAGCCCGAAGTAGCAGAGCGACTTCTGGTGGGCCAGCGCCAGCGTCTCGTCGGAGAACACCATCTGGCACTTGCGGCACACGAGGCTGCACTTCATCTCGCAGTGCTCCGCCAGGCTCGGCTTCGTCGGGGCGTCCGCCGCCCCCTTGCCTTTGCCCGGCGGCCTGGCGCCGTCGTCCGCCCCGTCGCCCGCCTCCTTCGCGTCCTGGCCGCCCCTGTCGTGCCGACCCTGCGCGGAGCCGTTCGACGGCTGCGCCGCCTGCGTCATCTGCTGCTGCTGCTGCTGCAGCAGCACCTCTTGCACGTTCTGCTGATACTGCTGCACCTGCTGCTGCAGCAGCGAGCCGGCCGCCAGCCCGTTGGCGAGGGCGGCCTGCGCGAAGGCTGGGCCGTAGGGGAAGAGGCCCGAGGCGTCCATTCCGTACAGCGACTGGAGGTAGCCGCCCTGCAGCACGGCCGCGGCCGCCGCCGCCGTGGGCAGCTGCGGCCCGTTGAAGTACGGCGGCAGCGTGGGCAGCCCGAAGCAGGGCAGCAGCTGCCCCGCGAGGAGGGCGGCCGCCGCCGTCGCGTTGGACTCGCCGGCCAGCGCGGCCTGCAGGGCCCGCAGCTGGGCCTGGTCGGACTGCGCCTGCTGGACGACCGCGTCCGACTCGTCGTGCTTCGCCGCGGCGTCCGATTTCTGCCGCTCGTCGGTGTCCTGGTCGTCACCAGCGGCGTCTTTGCTCCTCTCATTGCCCGGCGACTGCGGCGCGGTGCCGGCGTTCTGCTGCTGTTGCGGTGATTTGCTGGGGACCGCGGCGGGCGCGGTGAGACCCGGCGAGGGGATCGCCGACATGGGGAAGCCGATGAGAGCTGCCTTGGGCGTCGTCATTGCTGCCGGAGGGACGGAGGAGGGGGGAGAAGGAGGGATAAGGGGGGAGGAGTTGCCCTCTTTTTCACCCAAAAAACGTACTTTGTAATATATAAACAATGCATATTAATACATAGATACTAACAACATTATAAACACCATTATACACTACACTATACACTACACTATACACTACACCACTATACACTACACACTACTGTTCACTACACAATACACTACACTACTATACACCACACATTGGGCTCTATGGAGGCACTACTCTACACGACCTGACTAGACAGTCCACGAAATACTACTATACACTACACTACTATACACTACACTATACACTACACACTACCCTACACTATACACTACACTACTATACACTACACTATACACTACACTACTATACACTACTATACACTACACAATACACTACACAATACACTACACTATACACTACACGACTATACACTACTATACACAATACACTACACTATACACTACTATACACAATACACTACACTATACACTACACTACACAATACACTACACAATACACTACACAATACACTACACGACTATACACCACTATACACAACACAATACACTACACGACTATACACCACTATACACTACTATACACAATACACTACATACACTACACTATACACTACTACACACTACACTACACATTGGGCTCTATGGAGGCCCGTCGTTAAGCGATGCGTCGTTAACAGGAGTGCTCGTCAAGAGGGCTTCTACTGTATACGGTTTCTTGGTGGCGCCTCGATGCCCGAAATTGCAAGCGACCACAACGGAGGCTTCACCGCGGCATCGCCGGGGTTCGCCGCCCGGCTCCTCCGATCGGCGCTCGACCGCTCTCCGCGAAAAATGGCCCAAATTCCAAAAGGGGAATTGCCTGCGTGTCACGGAAGCTGCCGAGGGGGGTTCACGCCGTCGATTTTTGCAGCGGCGTCCTGAACGCACGTAGCATTGAAATTCTTTCGCGCCGTACGTCAGCCAACCGTAGCTTATCGGAGGTGCGGGGGGAAGGACAAAAAAATGTGGGTTTCTACCGTGTGAGTCTATGGTTCTCTGTTGTGTGAGTCTATGGGTCTCTGTTGTGTGAGTCTATGGGTCTCTGTTGTGTGAGTCTATGGGTCTCTGTTGTGTGAGTCTATGGGTCTCTGTTGTGTGAGTCTATGGGTCTCTGTTGTGTGAGTCTATGGGTCTCTGTTGTGTGAGTCTATGGGTCTCTGCCGTGTGAGTCTATGGGTCTCTGTTGTGTGAGTCTATGGGTCTCTGTTGTGTGAGTCTATGGGTCTCTGTTAAGTGAGTCTATGGGTCTCTGTTGTGTGAGTCTATGGGTCTCTGTTGTGTGAGTCTATGGGTCTCTGTTGTGTGAGTCTATGGGTCTCTGTTGTGTGAGTCTATGGGTCTCTGTTGTGTGAGTCTATGGGTCTCTGTTGTGTGAGTCTATGGGTCTCTGTTGTGTGAGTCTATGGGTCTCTGCCGTGTGAGTCTATGGGTCTCTGTTGTGTGAGTCTATGGGTCTCTGTTGTGTGAGTCTATGGGTCTCTGCCGTGTGAGTCTATGGGTCTCTGTTGTGTGAGTCTATGGGTCTCTGTTGTGTGAGTCTATGGGTCTCTGTTGTGTGAGTCTATGGGTCTCTGTTGTGTGAGTCTATGGGTCTCTGTTGTGTGAGTCTATGGGTCTCTGTTGTGTGAGTCTATGGGTCTCTGCCGTGTGAGTCTATGGGTCTCTGTTGTGTGAGTCTATGGGTCTCTGCCGTGTGAGTCTATGGGTCTCTGCCGTGTGAGTCTATGGGTCTCTGTTGTGTGAGTCTATGGGTCTCTGTTGTGTGAGTCTATGGGTCTCTGTTGTGTGAGTCTATGGGTCTCTGTCGTGTGAGTCTATGGGTCTCTGTTGTGTGAGTCTATGGGTCTCTGTTGTGTGAGTCTATGGGTCTCTGTTGTGTGAGTCTATGGGTCTCTGCCATGTGAGTCTATGGGTCTCTGTTGTGTGAGTCTATGGGTCTCTGCCGTGTGAGTCTATGGGTCTCTGTTGTGTGAGTCTATGGGTCTCTGTTGTGTGAGTCTATGGGTCTCTGTTGTGTGAGTCTATGGGTCTCTGTTGTGTGAGTCTATGGGTCTCTGCCGTGTGAGTCTATGGGTCTCTGTTGTGTGAGTCTATGGGTCTGTTGTGTGAGTCTATGGGTCTCTGTTGTGTGAGTCTATGGGTCTCTGTTGTGTGAGTCTATGGGTCTCTGCCGTGTGAGTCTATGGGTCTCTGTTGTGTGAGTCTATGGGTCTCTGTTGTGTGAGTCTATGGGTCTCTGTTGTGTGAGTCTATGGGTCTCTGTTGTGTGAGTCTATGGGTCTCTGTTGTGTGAGTCTATGGGTCTCTGCCGTGTGAGTCTATGGGTCTCTGTTGTGTGAGTCTATGGGTCTCTGCCGTGTGAGTCTATGGGTCTCTGTTGTGTGAGTCTATGGGTCTCTGTTGTGTGAGTCTATGGGTCTCGGTTGTGTGAGTCTATGGGTCTCTGCCATGTGAGTCTATGGGTCTCTGTTGTGTGAGTCTATGGGTCTCTGTTGTGTGAGTCTATGGGTCTCTGCCATGTGAGTCTATGGGTCTCTGTTGTGTGAGTCTATGGGTCTCTGTTGTGTGAGTCTATGGGTTTCTGTTGTGTGAGTCTATGGGTCTCTGTTGTGTGAGTCTATGGGTCTCTGCCGTGTGAGTCTATGGGTCTCTGTTGTGTGAGTCTATGGGTCTCTGTTGTGTGAGTCTATGGGTCTCTGTTGTGTGAGTCTATGGGTCTCTGTTGTGTGACACACGGGAAGCCGCACACACGTGGCACACGAGAAGCAGCACACAAGCAGACGATGCCAACCTGCTGGAGACGGCCCAAAGTTGGGCAGCGCCGGGGAGCCCCCAACGCCCGGCATGAGCATCGGCGAGAGCCCGGGAACGGCCGAGTAGGCCGACGCGAGGCCCAGGCCCGGCACTTGGGGCCCGTTGTGGAACGTGGCGGGGTGCTTCGTGACTTGAATTGCCTGCTGCTGGGGAAGGCCGATGCTCTCGTTGGCCTTCTTGATGCGGTCGAGCTCCTGCTGGGCCATGAACTGGCGGAAGAGCGCCGGGTCGAGGAACTTCTCGCCGTCCAGCTGGCTGCCGAGGCTCTCCTTGAGCTTGCCGATGTGCTGCAGCGAGAAGACGTGGTCGCGCACCGAGAGGCGCGCCGTGTATTGCACGCCGCACAGCCCGCAGCGGCCCCCCCGCGGCGCCGCGCCCTCCCCGCCGCCCGCGGCCACCGCGGCCTCCGCGCCGAACTGCTTGGCGACGCTCAGCTTGAACTTCTTGTCCTTGGCGCGCGCGTTCTGGAACCACACCTGCACGACGCGCTTGGGCAGCCCGATGTCGTTGCCGAGGATCTCGCACTCGTGCATGGTGGGCGTGCGGTACTCCCCGAAGCAGGCTTTGAGCACCTTCAGCTGCAGGTTGGACATCTGGGTGCGGTAGCGCTTGTGGCCCGGACGGTCGTCGGACGACGACGACAGCTTGGACTGCGAGAAGGCGAGGCCGCCCAGCGGGCTCGGGTGTGCGCGGGTCGGCCAGGCTGGACGTCTCGCTGTAGTCGTTCATCTCGAAGTCCAGCGTCGTCGAGAGGCTCAGGCCGGGGCTCACCGGCCCCGACGACGAGACGCCGTCGCCGCTCTCGCTGCCGAGCGCCGGCGTCGTCGGCTGAAACGGCGCCTCGTCCTCCGTCTTCGGCCGGACGTAGTCGGAGGTCGACGCCTCGGCCGAGAGGCCGTCGCCGTTCTCGCCGCGCGCCGCGCTCGCGCCGGACGGGCGGCCGTCTTCCGACGAGCCGCCACCACCGCGGCCATCGTCGTCGTCGTAGGCCGAGGCGTCGCCTTCCGCCGCGCCGCCCGCCATCGACCCTTCGACCTTGGGGATGAACGAGGCCTTGTCGCAGAAGCTGCTCTCGACGTTGATGGGGGAGTGGCTGAGCCCGGTGGGGGAGTTGTCGCCCATCATCTTCATCTGAGACAGCAGCGCCGACCGGTTGTCGCAGCCGGCGCCCATGCCGAACGGCGGCTGGGAGAACACCATGCTGAGCGAGTGCTCGAAGCCGCCGCCGCCGCCGATGCCGCCGATGCCGCCGCCGTCCTTGGCCTGCGTGTGCCCGGGGCTCGGCGCGCCGGGCGACGGGAAGACGTTGTAACCCGACTGGCGCGCCTCGTGCCAGTGGCGCGAGCGGATGTGCGTGTCGAGCGCCGTCTGGGCCTTGAAGAGGGCGCGGCAGAACGGGCAGCGCCGGTGGGCCTGCACCATGCCGAACGAGCGGAACTGGCCCTTGCGCTCGCGGGCGCGCGTGTTCTGGAACCACACCTGCACCACGCGCTTCTTGAGGCCCACCTCGCTGGAGATGTGGTCCAGCATCTTGCGCGTGGGGTTCGAGTCGATCATGTACTTGCCGTAGAGCACCTCCAGCTGCTCGGGCGTGATGGTCGTCCTCAGCCGCTTGTCCTTGTGCGGCTCGTCGAGCCGCTCGCCGTCCACCTTGCCCCCGACGTCGGCCCTCTCCTCGGTGCCGGCGGACGACGCCGGCGTCGCGGGCGATGGCGCCGACTGCGACGGGACGTGCGGCGGGGCGCCCGGCACGAGCGAACCGGAGCGCGGGTCGAACATCACGAAGGGCATCTCCGCGGGGCGCTCCAGGACAGAGGGCGGGTGAGCGAAGGGGTTCTGTGCGGAGAGCATGTGCGTCTGCTGGTGCTCCTGCCACTGCTCGAAGGTGGGGAACGAGAGCTTGCACTGCTCGCACTGGTAGGGCAGCAGTTGCAGCGCCAGGCTGTTGTATGGCGCTGGCTGCATCGGCCCCTGCTGCGACGACGACGACGACGATAGCAGCTGATGATGATGATGGCTGCTCTGAGGTTGATTCGGTTTTGGTTTGGCTGCTCTTCCTGCTGACTTTGCAGCTGATGAAGCTGCTGCTGCTGCTGCAGCTGCAGCTGCTGCTGCTGCAGCTGTTGCTGCAGCTGCTGCTGCAGCTGCTGCTGCAGCTGCTGCTCCTGCTGCTCCCGCTGCTGCTCCCGCTGCTGCTCCCGCTGCTGCTCCCTCGCCACCTTGCCTTCCTTCGGCTTCTCCTCGGCCGGTTCGGTTTTGGGGCTCGGAGCTCCGCGGGAGTCGCCGTCGGGCGTCTGGAACGACGAGGGGGCCGGCGCGTCGCGCTGCGGCTGCGCCGGCGGGTGGCGTATAGCCCGACGAGTTGCCCATGTCGGTGGCGTCGGACGAGTCGTCCATCTGGTTGTCCTCGCGCGTGTAGCTGTCCTCCTCGTCGCGGTAGCAGTGCTTCTTCTGGTGGGTGATGAGGTCGAAGATGCGCTGGAACACCACGCTGCACTTGCGGCACTGGTAGTTCATGTTGCCGGTGCGCACGTAGCGGTCGTTGAGCAGCACCTCGCGCTTCTCGCCGTCCCTGCCCTCGATCTGGCTCTCGTAGCTCTTGCGCGCCTTTTGCCGCGCGTTCTGGAACCACACGACGATGACGCGCGTCGGCAGGCTCAGGAGGCCGGACAGCTGCTCCAGCTCGTCGTCCTTGGGGTAGGCGTTGGCGTCGAAGAAGTCCTGCAGGATCTTGAGCTGGTAGTCGGTGAAGCGCGTCCGGCTCGAGCGCCGGCTCGACAGCGTCTCCATCTGCAGCTGCTGCTGCTGCAGCTGCTGCTGCTGCAGCTGCTGGGTCGGGAGCTCGGGGGACGGCACCGGCATGGGGGGGCAGCGCCGGTGCTGCCGGCACCGCCGGTGCTGCCGGCACCGCCGGCGGCTCGGCACGCAGCTCGTCGAGGCTCGTGGTGGGCGGGTTGTTGAAGTTGTAGGGCGAGTCCTTATTGCGCTGGCGCTCCTTGAACAGCGTGTTGCGGAACCAGTGCTTGATGACCTTGTGCGAGAGGCCCGTATTTTCGGCCATCTCCTGGATCTGCTCGTCGCTCGGCAGGTTGTTGATGTCGAAGTAGGCCTTGAGCACGTTCAGCTGCTCCTCCGTGATGCGGGTGCGCGGCCGCTTGCTCTGCTGCTGCTGCTGCTGCTGCAGGAGCAGGGCCGAGTCCACCGCCTGCTGCTGCTGCTGCTGCATCTTCTGCTGGTGGTGGAGGTGGTAGAGCTGCACAAAGTCGGCGGTGATCGACTCCATGGGCATGAACTGCGAGGACAGTTGCGACGCCATCGACTGCAGCTGCATCGGCTGCATCATCAGCGGCGATAGCATGGGCAGCTGGTCCAGGGGCAGCGCCAGCTGGGACAACACCATCTGGTGGGGCGAATGCTGCGCGGGCTGCGGGGTGGCTGGAGGGGTGGCCAGCTTCGGGGCGGTGGATGCGGGCGGAGGAGGGGGCGGCGGCGGAGGCGGCGGCGGCTGGAGCTGCTGCTGGAGCTGCTGCTGGAGCTGCTGCTGGAGCTGCTGTTGCTGGAGCTGCTGCTGCTGGAGCTGCTGCTGCTGCGCTGGCAGCGCCTGCATCTCGGGTGAGTCCGGCCTGATCGGGTAGACCTTGTCGTAGGTCTTGCGGTACTGCTTGGAGTAGCGGCTGAGCTCCTCGATGGGCAGGATCTGGAGGTGGATGTGCTCCTGGTGGCTTTTGAGTACCAGGATGTTGGAGAAGAGCTTGCCGCAGTCCCTGCACTCGATCTTGCCCGAGGCGTCGGCGGGCGCGGCACTCTCCTCCCGCCGCGCCGACCTCTGCCGGTTCTCATTGTACTGGATCACCAGCTCGAAGCCGAAGTTCTCCAGCAGCGCTCGCACCGCATTGCCCCGGGCGTACGCCGGAATCCTGGGCGGCGGCACGCGTTCCTCGGAGCCGCCCGGCTGCTGGTGCTGCGCGTCGCCCGGCTCCTCGCCGGGGCCCGCCGCCGGTGTCGTCGTCGACTCGCCGTCGACATCCTCTTCCTGCGCCTCCTCCATCTTCTCGTCCTCCTCGGCGCTCCGATTCTCGATCTCCTCGCTCAGGAGTTGAAGCGCCTGCTGTTGCTGCTGCTGTTGCTGCTGCTGCTGCTGTTGCTGCTGCTGTTGCTGTTGCTGCTGCTGCTGTTGCCACTGCTGCTGCGACTTCAGCTCTCCCAGGATGGAGGCGGCCGCGCTGGACATGGCGAACGCGCCGGACGACCCGGGCAGGACCATCTCCTGGTGCAGCTGAAGGTCGGCGCCGGAAAGACCAAAGGGAAAGAAGAACGGCTGCTGCTGCTGCAGCTGCATGAAGGCTTCCGTCGTCATGGAGAAAGGGGGCAGCAGTGCCGGGTTGAAGAGCTGGTGCTGAAGGAAGGCCGGCTGCTGCTGCTGCTGCTGCAGCTCCTGCTGGAACTGCACCTGCGCCTGCTGCACCAGGGCCTGCGTTTGGGCGCGTGCCAAAGCCTGTGCCTGTGCCTGGGCCTGTGCCTGGGCCTGTGCCTGGGCCTGCTGGCCTGACGACGGCGTCGGCGGCGCCTCCGCGTGCGCCTTCCTCAGCGCCTCCGCATACTCCGGCGCCGCCTCCGGCTTGTGCGCCGAGCCACCGGGGGCCGCCTGGGCCTTGGTGTAGTCGCTCGCGGCCTGTTGAACGGCGCTCGCCGAAGCGCCGGCGCCGTCCCCTTTGCCGCCGCCCGACGCCGCCGCGGCCGACTCCTGCAGCGCCGCCCGCGTCTTTGTCTGGTGCAGCACGGAGCGCATGTGGATCTCGAGCGTGGAGCTCTGGCTGTAGGCCACGTTGCAGGTGGCGCACCGGTAGGGCTTGCTGTCGCCGGCGCTCACGGCGGCGTCGCCCTGCGCGGCGCCGCCGGACGGCCCGCCTGAGCCCTGCAGTGTCTTCTTCAGGCGGTTGAGGTGCGACACCGAGTTGTAGTGCACGAGAAGGATGTTCTTCTGCGTGAACGACTCCTTGCACACGGTGCACTTATACGGCCGTGACGGGTCCAGGAACTTGTCCATCAGGAAGTTGGTGCCCTTGCGGAACGGCAGCGCCCGCTTGGCGTCGCCCAGCAAGTCGTCGCACTCCGGCGCGCCCTCGCCCACCTCCGCGGTGCCGCCGTGCCCGCCCTCCGCCTCGGAGGGGCCCTCCGCGTCGCCCCTGTCGCCGTCGTGCACCGCCGCGCCTTCCTCGCCTCCTCCCTCGGCCGGCGACGGTTCCCGGCGGCCGACCCGGAAGCCGATGCCGACGCTGCCGCAGATCTGGCGCACGTCGCCGTCGCTCAGCTCCGGGTGGCTCGACTCCAGGTGTCTGCCGAGGGCCGCGGGCGTGCGCAGGTTTTGCGGGCACAGCGGGCAGGCGGCCGCGGTGGCGGCGGCGGGCTGGCAGCACAGCTGCTGGTGAGCCAGCACCTTGTCGGGGCTCTTGAAGCAGGCGCCGCACTGCCCACAGCGGTGCTTGCTAGCCGCCGCCACCGCTCGCTGCTCCGCGATGGCTCCGGCCGGCGGCTGCAGCTGCTGCTGCTGCAGCTGCTGCTGCTGCCGCTGTTTGGCGTGGGCCTCGGCGAAGTGGGCCTGCAGCGCCCCGGGCGTCACGAACTGCTGCCCGCACCCCTTCTTCCAGCACAGGAAGCCCTTCTGGTCGCCACTCGCGCTCACGCCCAGCGAGGCCTTCTCTCGGGACGTGCCGGGCCTCTCGGACTTTTCACCATCCTCGCCTGCCACGCAAAGTGAAAACGTTGGCGTTCCGAAGGTTTTTTGTTCGTTACTTTTAAGCGGGCGTGCGCGCGTGGAGAACGGCGGCGCAGCGGTTAGCGCGCTGCTGCGCTACGAACCCGGTGACACGAGTTCGATTCCCGCCAGCGGCCAACACCGGTGACGCTTATCTGAACCGATCCTGGGCCTCCCCTATGTCGACTCAGCCTCAAGTGAGTACCCGTTGCGATGCATAGTAAACATCGTGACTGGGGAGACAAAGGCGGCCGGGCGTGGTGCTGGCCACCCAGCCCCTCGTGTGCCACAGTGCCGGCCTTCATAGGTGCTGCTCGCTGACAGCATTTGCCCCGATGGTCTGTTACAGGCTACACGGAAGGTTCTCCGTCTTTGCCTTTCCAGCGCCGACGCTTACTACGCACCGCACCAGGCACTCATTTTTAAGGCAGAGGGACCAGTTCAGATAATCGCCGGTGTAATTAGTTCGATTCCCACGAGCGGGAATCGAACTCGAGTTGGCGGGCCCACGAGAGGCTTACTCGCTGGCGCTGACCGTGACGCTGGTGTACGAACGTCTACGAGCATCGACACGCGTCGACACGACCGTGCGCGCGCGACGATGACGACACAATTGCGGGTTGCCCGGTGGTGGTGGTTGTCGCACCACAGTGGTGGGGGGGGGGGGTGCGGGGGGTGGGGGGGGGTGCTGCCGACTCACCTGTATAGGCGAAGTTTTCCACCGTGGCTATGGTCGTCGCCGCCGAATTCGCCGCGCCACGGCTCATGTCGGTGTTCGTTCCGTCGGCGGCCACGCCAACGCCGGGGAAAAACGCGTCGTTTGGCACGGCGCTCTCGTCACCGGAGGACCTGTATCGTGAAGGGGAGAGAAAAGCGTGTCACCATAGCGGTGCGGGCGTGGCGGGCGGGTGGCGTGGCGGGGGGGGGTGGCGGGGGGTGGGGAGACGGGACAATGCGCAGACAATCGTTGCACTGCGCGTAATCGCTTGCTCATCCACGCACGTACCGCCGTCCTCCGCGAGAGCGCACCGCTGCGGCGATCGTCGTCGACACGAGGCGGTCGCCGTCGCCGGCGAAAGGCAAGACCAAAATAAGTCGGCAACGACCACGGCTCCTCGCTAAGAGTCGGCGGTTGGCGTGGTTTGGGGCGGGCGACGCAAGTTGGGTTGTTATTGTCCCCGCGAGCCGCACGCGAGCACGGCTTCTCTTCCAGCTGCCGGGCGCAGCAGTGCCGACCACATTCAATTAGCGCCAAAAACGGCAAAGCGGGGAGCCGCGCGGTCTCGCGGCGCACAACGGCCAACGGGATGCCTCTTAATTATACACCTTGATTTCATGCGGCCCTAAATAGGGGGATGGTTGAATTATGCCGGGGCTACTCAGCAGCTTTTGCAGGCGGACAGGATAATGACTTCATGTAAATTGATTGCTCCTATAATTGCCGCTAGATTGCCGTCTCCATAATTGAGAAGGCACAATGCGGGGGCTAATGGGGAGCTTATTTTCCATTTTTTTCACGACTCAAAATAACCCCCCTCCCCCACCCCCCTGCATTTTGGTGGAGGAAAGCGTCATAATTGCGCCTGTGGTTTTTGCCCCTCCTCCCCCCCGTGCATTTGCTGCAGGGGTCAAGTCTCTTCCCCACCCACTCCCCCCTCCCCACCTCCTATTCCTCCCACCCCCCCCCCCCACCGTCGGTTACAATTTAACAGAAGGCTCGGTGTAAATCGTAATTATTTAGCGAATAAAAAAAAAACCTGCGTGCGAGTGCACACTCTCGCACGTACACGCCGACACAACCCAGACACACTCCGCTCGTGTTAAAACGTGGCAATTAGCGTTGTTGTCAACGGGCGCCACTTGACGGCGGAGGATCCCGCCAAGACCGTCGCAAGCGTAAATTGCGCTTAATTGTGAGATGGGCCGCGGCGGCGACACGCGGCCCCAGCACAAAATGGCCATCGGCCCCCTTCTTTCCCCTCCCCACCCCACCGTTTTCGAGCGGCGATCTCTGCCACCGACACGAGCGTGTCTCCGTCCGTCCGTCCGTCCCCGCTTATTTGAACCGCTCCGTTGGAACGTCGGAGTCGACGGCGCGGGTTGGGCCTCTTGATAGGGAGGGCCTCTTTCATCCGCACCGAGGGCCCCCCGGATTTACGCCGAACGCGGCACGAGACGGGGGAGGGCCTGGCGGCTTCGGTTTAAAACAAAACGCGAAGGTGCTCACGCGAGCCGCCCGCACGCCTCGCGTGCCTCGTGTCCGTGACCGCACAGCGCTCTCAGGCCTCGTCCAGGCCAACCGGCTCCGGCCGAGCCGAGCATGCGGGCCGCGGCGTCGTCGGTGGGCCGGCGCAGCCGAGTGCGCCGTTAGGTTTTGCGCCGTTAGGTTTTGCGTCGGGCCCGCACCGCGTTCTCCGGGATCGATGGCGGGGCCATTCGTGCGCCAATCTCGGAAAGAGTTTCTTTGGGTTTTGAACGATTCCGCGAGGGCCACGCAAGTCCTCGCGTCTGCGCGAGCGGGAGGCCGACCGCGATTCGCGAGGGGGAACCGCAACACGTCCTCCTTCCCCATTTCCCCCCGGAGCCTCATTTGTCGGAGCTGCCCGCACTGCCGCCCTCTTTAATTTGTGGGCGGCCTCCGCAAAAGCCGCAAAAAAGCCAAATTACGTGCACGGTGCACGAGCGTGCGGCGCTGGTGTCCGGTAAATAAATAAGTAAATACAACAAACAGCCCCTCCACCCCCACCCCCCCCGAGATGCGTAAACGATCATTGTTCTTCTTCTTTATATTTCTCCGATAAATGAACGAACCGCCTTCGTGGTCTCGTCGGTGCGTTGCCGTTCGTTCGGCGGTCATGGAGGGGACGGTGTGGGGGAGTCAGTGGGGGGGGGGGGGGGGGCAGCGGGGGGGGGGGGCCGTAGGTGCGGGTGCCACAATTCATTATGGCAAAACCGACAGGAGGGAGGCGTGACCCCCAGTGAACCCTGACCCAGGCGGGCGGCAAATTAGACCGTTCTCATTAAGGAAAAGTGGCGCCATCGCCATGAATCGGCCACGGAGATGAGGAGGAGGAGGAGGTAGGGGGGAGGAGGGGGAGGAGGAGGGGGAGGAGGGCCGCAAGGGGAGGGCGTGGTACGGTTAGACTCCTGGAAGGTCGTGGTGAATTGTAGGGGGAGGGGAGAGGGGGAGGTATGGTTGGAGGCAGAAAAACCAAATTGGCGGTTGCTTTGTACCCTTCGTGTCCACGGTGCAGTCTCACTGCCCCGTCCCCTTCCCCCCACAACCGTGACCCCCGTGACCTCCGCCGCCCCCCCCCCCTCCTTCCGTGTCCACGCACAGCGGCGAGCGAACGCTTCCCCTAGCAGCGAGCGCCAAAACACCTTCTTGAATTTTGCATGAGGCCACCGCTGATGCCCATCACTCCCCCTCCTCACCCCCCCCATACCCCCCACCCCCCCGAAGCCTGAGGAGAGGGCCGCCTTGCATGGCGGAAATTGGAGATGGGGCGCTCGTTAGGAGCCAAGCCAATTTGGAGCGGCTCATGATGAGCTGGGCAGCACTCGGGCTGCTGCTGCTGCCTCCCTCGAGCGAGGCCGGGAAGAAGCGGCGAGGGAGGCCCCCGCGGGCGCGGTTGATTGTCAAGTGGATCGAGGTTTTGTGCTTTTTTCTTGCTTCAACTCGTTCGTAAAGTCGAACGCAAAAAGGAATAAAATCAACAGCAACGAATAATCGCCGGGGTCATATAATATGGCCTATCAATTGCAACAGTCGTTTGCGTGATCATCATCGTTATTATTTTTAGAGAATATATTTTTTACAAACATCATGGTTGTTGTGACCTGAGGTTGATTCCTGACCAAGGCAAACATCTAGGTCGACCCAGCCTTAAACGTGTACCCGGTGAAATTGGCAATTATTGGCACCGGGGAGACAAAGGTGCCTGGGTGTGTGATGAATGTACGTGCATGCATGTATTTAAGGCTGAGTCAACGTAGGGGAGGGCCCAGGACCGATTCAGAAAGTCGTCACTGACAGTGAGCAGGAATCAAACTTGAGTCTCCCGATTCACACCGCGGTTCGCTGGCCGCCACGCGGACGCTCCCCTAGGTTGACTCGGCATGAATATGAGCAACTGGCGTGGTGTACAGGCATCGCCAACGGGGAGACGAAGGCGATCTGAGAGCGCGCGATATTCAGCCACCTCGGAAAGCCATTTCTGGCCATTCCGGCCTTCTGAGGTGCTCGCATTCACAGCACCCGCGGCCCCAGCAGTGCGTTTAGGGCGAAGGCCTCACGTCTCGTGCCGCGTTTGGCATAAACACGCGGGGGGGGGGGGGGGGCCTTCAGCGCGGAACAGAGAGACCCTCCCCGTCGGCCCTCTCTCCCGTCCATCGTAGGCAACGCAACGCCGCGTACGTGCGGGCAGCACCGCTCGCGCCAGCCCGTTGCAACGCTGCGCCCAATGCAGAAAGGCTCGGCATCAGCGGACGGACAAAATATATAAACGCACCACAGAATGAACCCCCACCGCCCCGGCTCGAGGTAAACAGTAATTGACGTTGCATTTGTTGCGCCGTCACCGCAGGGCACCGCTGAAGCCGGGATGGCCAATTACGAGCACCGCGGCGTCGTAGGGCAGCGGGCGCTTGCGGTGGCGGCACCGAACTCCGCTCACCGGGGGGTCTCGGCGAGCTCTCACCGGGCTCTCGATGCGAGTCTACGAGTCGACATGTTAGTCGATGGATCTCAATGTGCGGCTACGGCTCTACGGGAGGGTCGAGCTCGAACCCACGGCCTCCTGCGTATCGCCGCCGCCTCCGATATCAACAGCGCCATACCACCGGCCCTGCACGCATGTAGAACGTCTTTCGCAACACGTAGCCGAGCGTGCTAATTGGAGGTGTGGGCGGAGCGGGCCCCCCCCTTGCTCCGCGTCGAAGATTCGACCTCCTTCCCCGTTAGTCAACGAGGCTTGGGCGGTCGCCCATTCTCCTCCGCTGGCAGCACCGATGCTGCTGGCCACGAGTCACGTGGCGGGGGGGGGGGGCGGGGGGAACGCGGGGCGAGCGGGCGCGCGACGTGACGCCCACGTGCGCGCCATCCCGACCGGAGCGGGTGAGCGCACCGTCCGAAAGCCGACCGCTCTCGGGGTGGCGACCGCGGCGGCGTCCGGTACAACGATCGGGCCGCCCGGCGCCTTCGGCGAACGGAAGAAATAGCCGGCACCGGGGGCTGGCTCGGCGCTCGCCCCCCCCACCGCCCCCCTCGCACGCACGTACCGTCTGCATGAGCATGGGGATGCAGTGGGCGGCGACGCTGTGCAGGTGGGTCAGGTGCAGCTGCAGGTGAATGCGGCTGCTCAGCGCGTCCTGGCACAGGGGGCAGCGCAGCAGGGCGGCCGCCGCCATGGGCACCGCGCCGCCGCCATTGCCGGGCGCCGGCGCTGCCGGGGCTTGCTGCTGGTGCTGCTGCTGATGCTGCTGCTGCTGCTGCAGGGAGGAGTGCTGCCGGGCGACGTGCGTCTGCAGCCGACGACCACAGCCACAGGTGAATGTGCAGTACGGACACTGGTACACCTTAGGTTTGGCGACAAGAGTCGGGAGACAGAGAGAGGGGGGAGAGAGAGAGAGGACGCGTGGAGAGCGGGGGGGGGGGGGGGGAATGATTGAATGAAGGGAGAGAAGAGAGATGCAGACGCAGGAGGGAAAGGGGGGAGAGATTGCACCGGTTAACGTGAACGGGGCGGCAAGGGCGACGATGGAAGGGCAAGGGGGGCGGGCGAGGAGAGGAGGTGAGTGAGCGGAGCGTGCGGTGCGGTGAACAAGAGTCGCAAGATCGGAGGGGGGGGGGTGGCAACAGGAAGAGGGGGGCAGGAAACGACGGAGGTGTGTGGGATTACCGACCGTAACGAACGCAGTTTTACCACGCCGTGACGTGAAACAACAACACGCGGTGCATCGGATCGCTCGGTCCACACGGGCACTCCGATCCGTTCTTTGCGTTTGAAAGCACCGCAGCCGCATCCTGCAGCGACGCGCCGCTAACACAACGACGACGGCGCAGTCCGTTTAAGTAACGAACTGGGGGCTGGGCGAGCCGTACCTGGTCGTGCGATGGGGTTTTGTCCTCCAGGGGCTTCGACCTCTTGGCCGGGCTCAGACGCTCCGGAGTGTCCAGCGGCGGACGTTCGCTTCTCCGCCAAGAACGCCCGCGCCTGCTCGGCGTCTGCGGAAGAAACGGTGTTTCGTTACCGCAAACGTTCGTCTTTGCTGGATTAATTACGCAAACGCCCCGTGCAGAAGGGCCGTTGCCCAAAACGTCGCCCGTCATTTATCGTTTCCTTTCAAGGCGGCAACACACCACTCACGCACACGGCGTTGCTGACACGAGTGCGGTGAGTTTTTCGAGCTCGGATTTGCGTGCATCCGAGCAACGCCCCTTCAACCAATGTCACAGGCCTACAGAGGGGAGCGCGAGTCCTCAACAGCAGCGGCGACGTCACGCCGAGCCGTCGTTACGAGGTTTTACCGTGACCCCACGCTTACGGATGGACGGACCTAATGCGTTCGAGGTTTGTCGCCGTGTTGGCACTCGAGAGATATGCAAACGAGCGGAGCACAGAGTCGCGCGGCGATGGAGGGAATTCATTTTAAAGTAGTTTTCAAGATTACAATTCCGAATTCCCTTTCTTTCCATCACCTCTCTCTCTCTCTCTGCACACGCCGCGTCTCCCATTCTGATGGCCACATGAACGCGATGTTAACACACCGCACCAGGTACACACACGCATAGACACGTGGGTGTACGGTCATTGTACATGTCTGCACTATGATAAAGATGATAATAATTTACAGCCCATCATGCGTGGCTGTTTGACCATACTTCACTGCGCAGATCGGTGTGTGGGTTGTTTGACAGGAGCCCAGGATCAGTTCAGATAAATTGCTGATATTAGCTGTGGTCAGGAATCGAACTCAGGTTGCCCGGGGTTTACAGCGCAGTGCCCTAGGATGGCGCAACAAGCTTTGTTTGGCGAGTGCGTGACCTAAGCGGGAGGAGCAGAGCAATCAACAGCTCGATGGACCACCACCACCACCTCACTGCCATCTGCGAGTCGCAAAAGCAAACGGACGCCTGAGCGATGGCCAACATTGCACGCGACGCCGAGGAAGAGGAGAGCGAAGGGGGGGACCGCAAGGCCACCGCTCGTCCGTCAGCGGCACCATTCCCGTCGGACGAGCGGGCGGCGAACTGCGGGAAGCCGGCGGCGTCGGGCAGCCCCCGCTGCTCGCCGCCGCAACGTTGCTACGAACCCTCCTCCACCACACCCCCTCCCGCTCTCGAAGGCCGACGGACGGACGGGACCGGTCCAACGTAGCAATAATTTGATCAAGGGCGCGGCATATAATAAATCAATAAGTAGATGCTTTATCTGGGGATTTGCGGTGGGGGAGCATCGAGCAGCGGCGGCATTAATTTAAAAGTCAAAGAGCGGCGGAGGTGGTGGTGGCGTGTGGCGCACGCGGGGCCGGGAGTGATTGGATGCTCGTGGGGAAGGCGCAGGGACGACTTGGCACGCGTGGTGATAATGCCGCCCGCCGACAGCCAGAACAGGAAAGAATGATGGGTTTGGAGTTTGTTCTGAAAACACGGCGAGCGCACGGGACTCGCGCTCACGCGCGTGTGAGCCCCCCCCCCCCCCACCCTCCCCACACCCCCCAACCGTGCCCACGCCCCCTCCGCTCTCACACCCGCTCCCACTTAATTGGCTGGATTAACGGCACGGGGGGCCGGGGCAGCCAAGAGGGCCCTCGGCAAGGCCCCGGGACAAGCGGCACGGAGACCGAAGGACTGGATGCCTGCTCGGCGCCCCCCGACTCCCCACCGCCCGCAGCCGCGGCCGCTCTCCACGGTCCACCGCCCCCCACCGCCCCCCACCACCCCCCACCGCCCCCCGTACAGCCTGAACGGACTTTTGGAGCAAGCGTCGTTAGCGAGCAGCACCTACGAAGGCCGCACGCACAACTACGGTGGCTCGTCCCAACCACCCTCCACTCCCCCCCCGCCCCTCTCGCGCCCCCCACACGCCCCCCACACGCCTCAGCCCGGAATAATTTACGAGCGCAGGGAAAGAGGTAATTTCATGCTGGATGCGTCATACGGGGCGACGGCAATCACCGGGCGGGCGCGGAGCGTTAAGAGCGAGGCGACGCCGCTCCGCGCCCGGCGCGGTGTCACGGCTCTCGCGGCCGCGCGAGCGCAATCATCGCTAGAAAAAAGAAATTTGCGTGGGGGCGCTGGAAGGGAGGGGAGGCAGCGACAGACGGGGGGGGGGGGGGAAATTAACGAATCGAGGAGACGGGAAACTCGACAGCGCGGGAGGCCATGGCGCACCTCCTGAGCGTTCATCAGAATTCAAATTGGCTCAAATTAGATTCTCTCAAATTGAAGCTGCAAGCGGTAATAACCTGGGAAGAGACACTGTCACATGCAATTCCGGGGCCACGTCACATAAGCAAACATCCCACGCCGTGATACCCCTTAAAACACAAAAAAATGCCAAATTAGTTTCCCGCGCGCGGCGTTTGTCGGCGGCTGTCGGCGGCGCGGCGCCTCCGTTTCCGGCGCCGGCGCTCGGGAAAACGCACGCCAAAGGCGTCTCCTAGGAGCGCGGCGCCGCATCCCCGGTAGGCTGGCATGCATCGGGGACACGTGCCCGGCGTGAGTCGCAAAGACAACGAGTCTCCGGTAAGCATCAACGAGACCTTCTACTTCACGGAGT